TTTTCTGACTCGGAGTCGGGTCGAGTCAGCAAATCGAAAACGCTATTATATTATAATCTAGTAGAATTTATACGTTAATTTTAATAATATGGTGTTACGCACTTTATTTTGAGAGCTTTTGTTTGTGTAATATTTATCGAACGTATACGCGCCCCTAAAAATGTACGACCCACTTCCAACAGCACGGAAAAACCGTAGGAGTTTACAAATTGCGACCATTCGCGTATAGCAACTATTTCCGGAAGGGAGCCTCGTCTAACGACGGGAGACTGAAGGAAGAGTAACAGTTGACACTCACTGACCGGGCATAGTCAGTCCACCAACGTGGCATAAAAATGCAGCTGGTACATCCGACGTCATTGTAATCAGCTTTACACGCTGAGAAGCGAGATCGCATGCACGAGCAGTGACATGCAAAGTGTCGTGTGCACACGACACGCGCCCCAAATTAACTGCTCGGGCTCGTCCTCTCCCACTCCCGCATTTTTCTCTCCCTCTATCGTATCGAGATAAAGATGTCATTGACAATTCCGATCTGAAGAAGTCCAATAAACTGTATCACTTTACTAGGGGAGCATGAGGCCGGCGGGTGTGGTCGTGCTGCCAGCTGATACCGGGAGTCGAATAGAGCGCGGAGCCAAATCTTCAGAAGCCGGAGAACCCGCGAGATTAGCGACCCACCGCGATATTAGCGACCGCGATATGAAATCAGTCAAAGACTATTAGCACAATTTTTTATATCCCCCCCCCCCCGTGATATCTTGTAAAAGTTTTCGAGAGTAGCGAAATATATTTTCGGCAAAGACTATCGTAAGTTAAAGCTACCTATATAGAGATTGGAGATATAATTTTTTTAATAAGAAAAAACGACGAAACGTTTCGGTATTGCGAGAATAAACCTCGGTTTGTCGTATACTTGAACTTTCAGGAAATAAAACTGTAGGTTTTCGGGTAATTAACTCTTTCGCGACATAATCTACATTGATAAGTAAACTGACAGGGAAGTATGATGTTGCGGGAGGTGCCGAATCCGAAAGTGGGCGCTCGCTGTTGTTGACACTTAGTGGCACATTCGGCGAAAGTGGAGTCGGGGAACGCGAGTGCTTAATATATTCGCATATTTATACTATACGGGGATTGCTTTTACGTATGTCTCAATCTGAATTGAGAAGGGGGAACCACGTGGTCGAGGCTGGAGTTAATTCCCGCGAAAATTGAAGGGTCCCGATTTTAGGACGGAGTCCCACGGATGCGCTTTGGGAACCGTCGGTTTTACGGTGAGAACGGAGGAGCGCTGGGTATGGGAAACATCGATGATTCCCAGGCGGTGGTAGCGGCATTCCGTATACGAACGTGAACAGCGAATGTAAACGCGTCGGGCACGTGCACGTACATTTCATTCGTACATCGACCGGCTTGTCGCCTGTCCGGTTGCAGCGCGAGACAAATGTGCACGCTCGGGAACCGCACGATCCGAACGTGGGGGGGAACGTGCTTGCGTCTTCATCTCAATCGACAACGCACTCCGATCCCTCGATCCCGTTAATTGCTAGGCACTTAAGAAGCGGCAAATATTTGAAGATGCCGGAAATGTGGATCACGCAGCTCGCGCGAATCAGCCTGCGTCTCCGGCTGGCGGATAAAGGTCTCGCGGTATTAATCAGACGGAAGATTCCACTCGATCGTCTTCGACCGGTAGCGCGTTATCACTGCATCAGAATTAATTACTGCCGAGCCATTAATCTTCACATCTTCATTCACGTGTCGGTTGACGATGATTAATGGCCCCCCCCCAAGAAAACGAGTTTCGTACGTTCACGCGTTTAGCTGGCTCGGTGTTAATTCGGTGTTAATTACGGATCTTAGAATTTCCCGAGGTTATTGCAATTCTAGAAGACTGTACTTGCCTGATAATTTTTCCGCACGAAAAAAAAGCCTAATCTACAATGTGCTTTCTGCGTCTAGAAACATTCTATTTTATTTCAACAAGTCAAAACGCTTAACAAAATTTGTCAACAATGTACGATTATGCAACGTGTAATATACAATTTTCAACTTGCACACATTTTTTAAACGTACTTATTGGCTACAAAAATAGATTGTTTCTAGACGCAGAGAGCACATTGTAGACTAGGCTATAAAGACACGCAGGAAACATTTACGATAGATTAGATAATAAATATGTGTTTGTAGAAATTCTCTTCGCGCTTGCTGATGTACAATTTACAACACGTTTATTCAAATGTACCTCACAATCGGCTGAATTTCAATTGCGATTTACAGTAAGAATAAACGAATTTTCTTATCTATTTATTTCGAACTTTACAGCGCTCTCGCGAATCTTCAGGTGTCCTCTGTGCGAAACCTTTCTTCCTTGATACCTCAGTGCCTCGGTCTCCAACCAACAAGAGCAATGCGCGAAGAGGCGCCGCGGGAATCAGCCCACTCGACCGGTCGCTGAATCCTGTCTGGTAGGTTTAGACCGACCTTCAGATTCCAAGGCTGTTCCTAGCGTACGAGCGTAGCTTAGGTCGACTACCATCTCGCTATGCTTGCCTGGTTCTTCTAAGCATGTAACTTAGAACGACTAGCCTGTCTGATGAAACGCGGACATTACTGCTGAATCTATTGTTATGTGGTGATGCGTTACAGTACACGGAGAGAATTTTGTCTTAACATTTACCCTAAAAATCACGTAATCGTGCGACAACACGGCAAAGTGTTCGCGAAAAAATGCGTATGACATTTTACCGATTTTGAACAATAATCGCAACTGCACTTTTAGGAAATAATATTAAAATAAATTATTTGTGAACAAATTGAACGGTTAGAGCGTCAATTAATTAATCTTATTTCATTAAACTATAAAAGTAATTTCAAAAACAACATTGAAAAGACGTGAAATAAAATTAAATGTCTACTAAACATTTACTCCAATCGTCTACAAATCACCCCAGGAAAAG